AAATTATTATATTTTAGAATCTCTTTATAGTTTTAGGATGATTTATTACTTATGACACATTAGTCAGCCTCCACAGAGTTTTCACCAGACTCGTTTGCTTCTGTTTAGCAGCAAGAATGCTCTTTGAACTCAATATTCTTTTGTTCTTGTTCGTTAGAAATGAGTCGAGGTGCCACCATGTCAAGTGTGCATTTATAACAGTTCCATTGTTTAGCAAAATTGATTTCTGTGTTCTATTATTGTCATAAACTATTCATAAGATACAGACAATAACTATCTAGTAGACAATTAAATGTAGGGTTAATAAACAATATGACAATAGTAAGATAGTTTAGGAAAAGGTAAACGCACCTAACCTTTTTTATGGTTAGAAAAGTTACATTTCCCTTTTACTTAATTTTTTATAGAGGGTTTTTCATTTGTAAAACAACTAATTTTATACTATGGATGGTTGAAATCACAAAATGTAAACAGCATTATTGTCACAAATGAAGGAGTACTTGCCTACTAAATATTATATACTTAATATCATACAATAAAGGTTAACCTATATTTTGGTGAATTTAGATTCTATAGAATAAGCATACAGATAAACATTACTGTAGGTCCCATGGTGAAATATTGACATAAGACAGATTTACTTTTTCGTTTTGATGTCCACAGAAGCCAAAAACACCATACATTCAAATTCATATGCATGTATTTGTGTCAGATTTTGTTGAAAATTGTATTTTATTCAAACTACTTCTTGAGGCATTATGATCAAACTATTTGGATGGTATTTTATGGGTTGAAAATTTGGTTTTCCATTTTTGACCCTCAAAACACAACATGTTACATTTACTTTATAAACAAATTTGTGGAGCTTAAAACACTAATAATTGTTATGTCGAATGTTGTCGTATGTCTAATAGATACGGATTAAAAACTATAGAATAAAATTCCCATGTTATTTTTTGAGGCTAATTTATGGATATTTTCTTTATCTAATTTGACAAAACCGTTTATTCTACACCAAGCTATTGGAATTTTAATAAAACCTCTACTATACTACATTCCCTGTCGTAGGTAAACCTAATGTTATTTTCATGAGAAATAAATTAATATGTTTAAGGCGATATTTCAGTAAAAATTTGATCAGACAAATGTAAAATCATTTAATCTGCAGGCTTGCTGCGGCGAGATTATTTGTTGATTTCATAGACGCAGATTTATCTACGAATGTACATTATTCAGGAACGACTTTCTTTAAATTGCTGCAGATGTTTATTACAGCAAACAATTCCCTTTGAGCGCAATATCTTTGTGCGGAGGAAAACAGTGACGATGAAATGCGGTAACCGAATTATTTGTGAGATGTTTTGGGCTGGACAACTTGTCAGAGTCAGTTATTGGGGCAAAACACCCCAGACACAAATAAATTCAGTTCCGTAGTTTGCCGCAAGGATTCCCTCGGTCGAAGTGAATTTTGTTTGATAAATAACTTCGTGTTACCAGTGACATATGTACCACTGAATGGTTAATGTGCCACATTTTACATACAAAGCCCTCAACCGTACTTTTTTCGAACAAATCATATTGCAACTCATGTTTTTGCATCAAAACGACCAGTGAATAGTCTACAGTCAAGGATATCAACAATAAACAAGATTCAAAAATATTTTGATGTGCTTGAAAATGAAATATGCGTTATTGAAAAATGAATAATGCATTGATCCTATTTACTTCGTGTTTTAAATATTGATATTCATCAAACCTTCACATGATATTTGTCTTTTAACGCATTTAAACCCCCTGAGTATTTATAAGTGTTTAAACAATTTCTAAATTGGTTAACATATTGCAATGATAAAAACAAAAGAAGAATACTTTTCAACAGAATAAACGGAATATTAAGTTACAATACTGTAAAGCAATTCCACATTTCTTCAATATTTTTCCAGACATGTTACTCCACCTGCGAGTCAATTTACCAAAAATTAAGAGTCAATAGTTACAAAACAAAGTGTAGAACATTGTGTAAAAACCCAGTACCTCTCACTTAGTTGTAAAACTAATACCAAGTTTTAAGAGGGATTCTTTTAAACGATTCAGTTCCTCAAAGGTTTGTCAAAGTTTACTATCTAAGCAATGGTCTGCTCTGTTAATTCTATTTCACTCTTTAAGTGTTTCTTTGAATTGTTTTGTGTAATTTGTGCACATTCAATTCTTTAGTTTTGGATTCAAATAAATTTTTGATCTAATTTATTTCATATTTATTACAGCCACATTTTATAACAAGTGCTTATAGTTAGTGTTTCCCAACAAATAGTTGATTAAATAATTAACGTTATTGTAACCTCTCGGTTAAGTTTAGCTTCAAAAGTAGCGAGAAAGCAAGTTTGGATTGTGGAGTTGGTTTATAATTGTATTGTCCTGTTCGACTAACTTCATCACAGTTTATGGTCTTGTCCTTAGAGCCCGTCCACATTGTATTAATCAAAAGAATTACGACCTGGGTTCAAAATCTGTTTTAAGCTGTCGATGTACAGTAAAGCTAAAGTGTAGTCATTGGCTTAGAAATACATTAGGACAAAATATTTCAATTGGTAGGTTTACAAAATTTATCTTATCGACGTGTGGTTTAATTCTAGTTGTCCAAACATATAACAAATTTATATATTTGTAAATTAGCTCTTTGCAAAATCTTCAGATTATCATCTTCCGATTGCGGCATGATTTTTTATCGGTGATATTTTTGGATTCTGCAAACAGGTGATGACAGATGACTCTTCCTTTACCCCGAAAATTTACTAAAACGCTTATAACAATATTTTACGGAGCTTATTAGCTCGCCTAGCTCTATTTTTATGGCATTCACAGCCCATAGACCAATTAATATTTGACACTCGTACGGATGATCACAGAACGGATGTTTATATCGATGCAGGATGTGAGGTTGTGAACCAGTCACAAAGAAGCTAGAAATACTCTTTTGTCACGTGATGATTCGTTGCAGAGTCTCTACGAATGTTGTAATTGATATATTGCTTGCATAGACATCCATACGAGATCTAAATTATGGGTGGATAAAAATGTTTTTAAGTTATACAGTATTTATTTTTTAAACTAAATTTATTTATTTTACAATCTGTTCAATGGATTTTTAGAACAATAAGTAAAATATTTTTCAAACAATTCAGGAAGCAAGAACTTGTCCACCAACAAGTCTTGCTAAAATAGTTGATGGTTATCTAAACAAATCTTTACTTCAAGTCCAACACGAACAACACATTAAACTATCAACACACTCACTGTTGTCAATTAGAGTAACAGCCAGACTGTTTGGGTAATCATCAAGTTTCTCTTGACATTTCCTTCAATGTTTTGAAATCCTTCTTTGGCTGATGTAATTTCGAAATATTTTCTAATTGTAATGTTCATTATGAACCACGGTGCATCAGTTAAAATCTGTAAGAGCTTCTTAAGAGTTTTAACTTGTAAATGTTTAAGAACTTCGATACAAGATCTATTCGAGGTACCGCGAAGTCATATGCCATACGTCCAAATTGGTCATAGCTTTATGATTTAGAATTTTGTTAGCCAATGATAATATTGAATTTGTATCTAGAAGTGAATCAAGTTTACGAAATTCGAATTACATTTTACTGTCTCTTGCACCACATTTGAGTTAACCAATTTAACTTATTGTCAAGGCCAAGACCTAAATATTTTTCATTTTCTACCATCATTTAGGCTACATTAGTAAATAATTGATACTGGAGGAATGTTTTATTTTCTTAGAGGAAAAACAATATGATTTGTTTTTGTTCACTTGTACCTACCACTTTTCAAACCAATATTGGAGCTCATTCAAGGCAGCTTGCAGATTAATTGAAGCGACTTGAGGGTCTACATGACTTGACAACAGTGCAGTGTCATCAGCGAATGTAGCAACTGTGACGTTGGGGACCATAGGGATGTCTGATGTGTATAATAAATCTAGTAAGGGGCTAAGGACACTCCCCTGAAGTACTGCAGAATGTTTAAGCCTCAGTTCAGATAAGAAATATTCAAAATTTATTAAAAATATCGATTGGTCAGATATGATTTTAGATGGTTACCGTATAGAAAGAGTGAGTGAGATACATTTTTTAAAAACAGTTTGAGATTGTGTACTTAATTTCACAGGCACAATTAGGTCCAACTCTCATTCTCCACAAATCAAAGACTAAACTTTAATAAAAAATGTGTTAGTAATTAAATTAATCGTTCTCTGTGAAAATTATAACATAAAAATAATCATAAATTAGACATCAACATTTTTATCTTTAAGAGTCACAGTTTTTGTTGATGTAATAAAAGCAATTCTTACTAAATCCACCTCTTTATTGATCTTACCGTGTTGCTCCTTGGCTGTCAGAAGCACTGACAGCTGTTGAGTCTGATAGTGTTTTGGCGGGTATTTTTAGCCAGTCGATCATCGGAACAGCTGACAGGAGGATTGCAATAAACACGGCCTGTTTATAGGCTGCATTAATGCTCTTGAGACATGATACAGTAAACAGCCATTATCTGAGTGTATACAACAGCTCTCACAATGTGCTTCTTTGCCAACACTCTAACACAAGAATATTATTGTACTGAGTTTAATTTGGTTCGTTGGTCTAATATTTGGGTTACATTCCGATGTGTACAAAGTATCGACAGTTAATTCATTTTTTAGGAAATACATAATAATCTTTCGTCAAATTATTTTCTGGTTTTCGATTGGGTCTACGACTGTTCGAAATCGATCGACGTAGTAATACCTTATATACATTATTTATCATTTTGTAAATGTTTACTGTACAAGTATAAAATTTTTGAACACTATAGGCATACGTATGTCATATTTTTGTTTGAACTAATAGTTTTTAGATGGATGTCAAGTATTCACTTTTAAGTGTGGTAAAACTTTCTGGTTCTGTGAGTAAAAATTAACGTTTTAATTATGATTTTGTTTCAGGGCAGAAGCAACTTATACTCAACCGCATGTCATCATAAGGTAGGAATATTTTCATTGAGCACATAACACGATTTTATGTAATTAAACTAATTATAGCCTAAAAGGAATAAATATGCGTCTTTTACACATTATAACCTTTCTAAGCAGAAAACGGCTGGTTTGAAGACATAGGTCGCGTGGTTAATGTGGTGTTTTTCCTCCAAAGCGAAAACGAGCTGGAACCAGCACTTCAGATGGGCTTTTTTACATGTTTAAATTTCGTCTACTGATTTTCCCGAATAAAAAAATCTCGATTAACAACTACTTTATTGTACAGTATTGTTATACAAATTTGGCGTCCAGAAAGTTAATGTAAAGTGATTTGAATAATTAAATACGAATTTTGTATTGTGCTGGCGGAGTGATAATTCTAAATAACAATATTATTACATATTCGTATTCCAACCAATGTATAAGTAAACCACTTTGAGAACTAATTTTTACATAAAAATGTATGTGCAGTATGACGAAAAATATAGTTAAGCTCTTTGACCCTCGCTCATTTAAAATGTATGAAAGTTATTATTTCTCGCGCGTATAAGAGGCAACCTTTAAGCCCTATTAGTGAAATCTACCTCTAAGTATAGTGGGGTAATTGAGTAGGAGCATTAAATCCCTTGAACAACTGTAGTAAATAAATATACCAATAAACGTTGGTAGGTTGTCAATTTGTTTATAATATCTAAAAACTAAACGGTACAAAGGTAAACACAATGTACCTAATGGGCCATAAATAACGACTTTACACCAAAACAAAGTCGAACATGAACCATAACGCCATAAAAGTAAACATCAACATTTGATCTTGCCAACTTTGCCAGGTGCTGCCATCTACGAACCAATAAATAGTGTGCTTACTTTTTAAACTTTGAGCGTGTATAAGTGTTGCAATTCCATATTTAAACTGCCATTTGAATGTAATCTGTTATGTTAATGTCAGTTTTAATTCAACAATTTGTAGTAAATATACATGTTTGTGGTCTTTGTTAGTACTCATCAATGTTCTATACATACTTACTATGTACATTGACCTAGAAACAGCTGTTCATACAATGCTAATTTAATTTAAAAGTAGTTGAATTATTTCTCTTAGAGAATATACAGTTTAAACGAACATTTTTGACATCTAATCAACATCCTTGTTAGACATAAGAATAATATCTTATATACTTAAGTCTTGAGTGAGTATAGTGGACTCTATACTACGTTATTTTTATTATTTTTTTTACGTAAAGGTTGTACTTATCGATATAAAAAGAAATAGAAATGATAACTATATGGTGTGATTAAATATGAGATAGGAAAAATCAGGGTTTTTATTTAAAAAAAGAGGTTTGGCTTACTTCATGTTTGTATTGGAGGGGATTCGCGATGAATGAATGCAACAATAAAGATCATATTGTCATGTGTTGAGAATTAAAGACTATTTGAAACAAAGACATTTAAATTAATACAAAAAGCACAAAGACAACTTATTTAACAATAAAACACGAATAAATAACTTTTAAAATGCGTTTTCTATTAATATATGAATTAGTAAATCTTGGGCTTTGGGGTGAAACAGTCGGTAGTAGAACGGACTTTGGACCCAAGGCAGCGATGTCGTGGGTTCGAATCCTGGTCCCTGCCACTACTTTCTATCATATAAATTCAACCTTGTAATGTACCAGCTCACACTCCTTACTTTATCCTTTTACAAGGACTTTATGTTTTCCAGTATGGACAGTAACCGGTTTGTGAATAGTCTCGTTAAACAGATTTTCAAAAATGTATCTCACTTATGTTGTATGAACTACGCCATTTTGATAATAACAAATAAAGGATTCCAATTTGGCTAGTTTTATATTCAGACTCGAGAGTCAAATCAAAAAATTAATATCGGAGTAATTAAATTTGTATTTAGTTATAATCGCCAATCATGATTACATCCAAAACACTAATAACGCTGTTCAATTTATTTCAAATACAAAAATACAATTTAATCTATCAACTTGTCGGAAGATTAAAAGCTAAATATATTAATTATATCGTGCCCTTGGTACCTATATTTTAAAAACTGTGTGAGCTAAAATTAAGTGTGGATTAATAGCAGAAATGTATTTATAGAGGAAAGAGTTGTTGTTGTTTATGTCTCGCTTCCGGTCCAATTTCCAAGTTGTTTTTCGTTTAAATTCAGGAGGATTTCAAATATAAATAATTTTCACGACATTTACTGCCAAAAATTTTGAGAAATTGTTACTTTTTACAATATTATTATTAGATTTAGAATAGATTTCGAATTTAGATTTCGAATTTATATGGTAAGTAAAAACAGTATGACATTTTATCTCTAGATAAACAACGATAGACCAAAATTAGTTTGCCAACGGAAATTTAACTAATTTATTTATTTATTCTCATATGAAGATTGAACTTGAGTTGCACTATCTAACTCCTACCACAAATGACTGATGACACTGATATTTGAAACTGATTAAAAAGATGAATTCTCAAAAAACTTTTGGATCGGTTTTGAGGTATTTTTACACGATAACTGTTAGGTTTTTACTATGGCTTAACTATAGCTTCCATCAGAGTGACTGATAGTTGTGTAAACATTGATAAGTGAGCATCGTGTAATGCTGCTGGAATATTCTTGGGTATTTACATCACATGACTGCTAGGCTGTAACTTATAGCTTCCATCAGCGTGACTGATAGTTGTGTAAACATTGATAAGTGAGCATCGTGTAATGCTGCTGGACCATTCTTGTGTATTTATATCACATGACTGCTAGGATGTAACTTATAGCTTCCATCAGAGTGACTGATAGTTGTGTAAACATTGATAAGTGAGCGACGTGTAATGCTGCTGGACCATTCTTGTGTATTTATATCACATGACTGCTAGGTTGTAACTTATAGCTTCCATCAGAGTGACCGATAGCTGTGTAAACATTGATAAGTGAGCGACGTGTAATGCTGCTGGAACATTCTTGGGTATTTACATCACATGACTGCTAGGTTGTAACTTATAGCTTCCATCAGAGTGACCGATAGCTGTGTAAACATTGATAAGTGAGCGACGTGTAATGCTGCTGGAACATTCTTAGGTATTTACATCACATGACTGCTAGGTTGTAACTTATAGCTTCCATCAGAGTGACCGATAGCTGTGTAAACATTGATAAGAGAGCGACGTGTAATGCTGCTGGAACATTCTTGGGTATTTACATCACATGACTGCAAGGTTGTAACTTATAGCTTTCATCAGAGTGACCGATAGTTGTGTAAACATTGATAAGTGAGCATCGTGTAATGCTGCTGGAACATTCTTGGGTATTTACATCACATGACTGCTAGGTTGTAACTTATAGCTTCCATCAGAGTGACCGATAGCTGTGTAAACATTGATAAGTGAGCGACGTGTTATGCTGCTGGTACATTCTTGGGCATTTCTATCACATGACTGCTAGGTTGTAACTTATAGCTTCCATCAGAGTGACTGATAGTTGTGTAAACATTGATAAGTGAGCGACGTGTAATGTTGCTGGAACATTCTTGGGTATTTACATCACATGACTGCTAGGTTGTAACTTGTAGCTTCCATCAGAGTGACTGATAGTTGTGTAAACATTGATAAGTGAGCGACGTGTAATTCTGGTGGAACATTCTTGGGTATTTACATTACATGACTGCTAGGATGTAACTTATAGCTTCCATCAGAGTGACTGATAGTTGTGTAAACATTGATAAGTGAGCGACGTGTAATTCTGGTGGAACATTCTTGGGTATTTACATAACATGACTGCTAGGATGTAACTTATAGCTTCCATCAGAGTGATTGATAGTTGTGTAAACATTGATAAGTGAGTGACGTGTAATGCTGCTGGAACATTCTAGGGTATTTACATCACATGACTGCTAGGTTGTAACTTATAGCTTCCATCAGAGTGACTGATAGTTGTGTAAACATTGATAAGTGAGCGACGTGTAATGCTGCTGGAACATTCTTGGGTATTTACATCACATGACTGCTAGGTTGTAACTTATAGCTTCCATCAGAGTGACTGATAGTTGTGTAAACATTGATAAGTTATCGACGTCTAATGCTGCTGGAACATTCTTGGGTATTTACATCACATGACTGCTAGGTTGTAACTTATAGCTTCCATCAGAGTGACTGATAGTTGTGTAAACATTGATAAGTGAGTGACGTGTAATGCTGCTGGAACATTCTTGGGTATTTACATCACATGACTGCTAGGATATAACTTATAGCTTCCATCAGAGTGACTGATAGTTGTGTAAACATTGATAAGTGAGTGACGTGTAATGCTGCTGGAACATTCTGGGTATTTACATCACATGACTGCTAGGATATAACTTATAGCTTCCATCAGAGTGACTGATAGTTGTGTAAACATTGATAAGTGAGCGACGTGTAATGCTGCTGGAACATTCTGGGTATTTGCATCACATGACTGCTAGGTTGTAACTTATAGCTTCCATCAGAGTGACTGATAGCTGTGTAAACATTGATAAGTGAGCGACGTGTAATGCTGCTGGAACATTCTTGGGTATTTACATCACATGACTGCTAGGTTGTAACTTATAGCTTCCATCAGAGTGATTGATAGTTGTGTAAATATTGATAAGTGAGTGACGTGTTATGCTGCTGGAACATTCTTGGGTATTTGCATCACATGACTGCTAGGTTGTAACTTATAGCTTCCATCAGAGTGACTGATAGTTGTGTAAACATTGATAAGTGAGCGACGTGTAATGCTGCTGGAACATTCTGGGTATTTGCATCACATGACTGCTAGGTTGTAACTTATAGCTTCCATCAGAGTGACTGATAGTTGTGTAAACATTGATAAGTGAGTGACGTGTAATGCTGCTGGAACATTCTGGGTATTTACATCACATGACTGCTAGGATATAACTTATAGCTTCCATCAGAGTGACTGATAGTTGTTTAAACATTGATAAGTGAGTGACGTGTAATGCTGCTGGAAC